TGAGCAGATGAAAGCGCAAAAAATATACGAGTGTGGAATCTGCCTCCCTATTTTGTGAAAAAAATAAAATGAGCAGATGAAGAAAATGAAGCAAAAGTAGGTTAATTGGGAATTCATTTCAATTGTTCAAATGGAAAGGAACTAAAAAAAAGTGAAGTAAAGCAACAAAGGAAGAAAAACAAAGGAGTCAGACGTGAACAACATCAGCAACCGCACCACTCCTAGAATCAACTTTGCCTTCTTGCTCCGTTTCACTTTCCGAATCGTCCGTAAGCGGCCCCTTGTTCGCGAAGAATCATTGCACGTGTCACACCATATCGCGAGTGTTCCACCGTATCCTGGGAATATCCAGATGCACCTTCTTCCGCACCGCCACAATTTTGCGGTACATGCAATCCGATAGATACTTGCTGAAAGGAGTCGACTTCTTATATACTTGAATCGAATCTGCGACAAGATTCGCCTTCTCCGCCACGGTTTTCCGCTTCATCTATTTGAGTTTTTTCCAACTTTTCCTTCTCAGTTGCGGACTCCGATCGCACGCTGTCCAACTGAGCGGTGAAAGCTTTATTTCTTCTACAAATTTCTTTGTCAGCTTTGCTCGGATGGCAGCCCGCTCCTCTGATTGCACCTTCTCTCTTTCGATTGCTAGATCTTCATTCAATTAACGAGTCAGTTTGTCCACATGCACAAGTGCGTCTTCGCATTTCTTCTAAATAGTTGAGAAGCGTTATTCAGTGCCGATCGTCTTGCTCTGCAGCTGAAAGACTTTATCCTGCTCCGCTCCCAGCATCACCATAGTATCCTCCCTTTCCTTCTGAGCGCGATAACTTGCCACCACAGCCTCCAACAGGACATATATGAGTATTTTTCTGCACAATAACGTAAAAAAAAAGAAGAGAAAAGGAAAGACAATGAACAACTCGAACATGAAATTAGCATGGGCGAGACTCGCGTGCAGATCACTGCGCTCCATCCGGACCGGAAGCATGAGAGCAGCACCAACGGCTTTCAGCGCGATCTGCGCAGCATGAAGGGTTTGAGCAGCCTCATTAGGAAGCTGTACTTCCCAGAATTGGCTCGCTAACGCATTCTGGAATGCCGCCATGTCTGGCAAAGTCTACTAAGCAAGCTGACCTCTCGAGGTTCCGCTTCCCACCTTCTCCGATCTCGGAGGCTTCTTTGCCAATGTCTCTGCTCGAGGTTCCACCCGCGCTACCTTGGCAGGCTTTGGACGATAAGCTCTTCGGGCGACCATTTCACGTAAAAGAACTTCTCAAACCAGTTGTTGTCCAGTTTGGGCGACGCGTACACATAACCACCCGGCTCGTTATCATGTCGCTTAATCGAAAGACCATTTTCCTGACCTTCAACTTATAAAACTTGCGGAAAAGATAGTATGACGGATGCAAGTTCCGCCGTTTGCAGATGGCCCACAATGCTCAGGTGTGGAAGATAACTGAAGATGAGAAGCGCGCAAACAAACACTTCACCAGGCTATACAACCAGCAAATCAAAGGCTCGACGGGAAATTTAAAGCCTATCCTCCAATACTCCGTGTAACCACCAAACCACCCAGGGGGGGGGGGGGAGGCGATTCCCAATGCGGCTGAACTCGGACGGGACAACGTACTGCTAATGAGGAGGTAAGATGAGACCGCGCACATACTTCAGCACATCATCTCGGCTGAGTATCGAAGCGTGATCGGGGCCGCTTAACAAGCGATCAGAGGGGGCTTTGCCTTCCGCGAACATATCCTCAAATCAAAGATGTTGTAGTCCGCACCAGCAGAGTTCACCCCCAACCACGCCACCACTTCTGTCGTCCCCACAATAGAGATGATAGAGTAATCTTCGGGATCCGAAAAATTAAGTGAACTGTCTGTCTCGACATCATTGGCGGTACCAGAGGTGTCTACCTCAACCATCACCCCTTTCCCTTTATCACCGCACTAACCTGTCCTAGAACATACCTCCCTCAAATTGTCCTTGCCATTGTTACAGCGCGTCATCCCATCGGATGAGCTCCGGAGAAACTCGCTATCGGCGACGGAGTCAAAACTAGGGGTCACCAGCATTGCCTCGCCCACCGAAGACTGATCCACCTCTATTCCTACTTCCCTAGAATCTATATAAGGGTAAGAAGAATCGTTACCTCCGTCATCGATATCGATCACTGTCTGAGCGACGAACTTCTTGGTGGAGATCTTGAATCAAGAACACGCGAACGACGAGAAAACAGTGTTCGGAAACGAAGACAAGGCAACGAGCAACGAAGAGGAAGCACAAAAGAAAGAGAAGGAAGAAGTTCCTGTTATTTTTCGTTCGGCTGGTAAGAAGGATACCAACCCTAACCCACCGCCTCCCTCTTTATAAGGCAGGGAAGAGAAGTTCAATCGTCGCGGGCTCCTTGGAACCTGTGCCAACCTGTCAAATCCTGAGTTAAAAAAAACCCAGAGAGTCGCGAAACTTCATTGGACAAAGAGATAGGCAATTGCGAAAATCCAAGACAGCAGCAGATACCAGTCGGACAAGACCGAATTTACAGCACGAAAATGATCGTGTGCCTAGTCAAGGTGTTACTTACCGCGAGGTATTCTCAATTGCGGGAAAAAATACAATCGCAAAAACCCAAGCGCGGTGTACGAAAGGCAACACATGAGGTACTCCCGGACTACCTCCTGCTGGGGGGCAATTGTTGGGGGAAAGACTACAAAAAGCGCGTGAGCCGTGCTACCACCGCGCCTAACTATCCACTCGCGCGGTTACCTACCACGTCGTAAGAGACCGCTCAACACCCGCACCGAAATTAAAGAAGGCTATAAATACAACATCCATGTCTTGTCGCCATGATTTGCTCTCCTAACTAAATTAAAGAAGGCTATAAATACAACATTACTCCACTTGAGCAAGGGATTGGAGTTTTGGGGAAGAACCTTCTCTCTCTAGAACTCTCCTTTTCTCTATTGTCTTCAAGTTCCTCCAACTCTTACTCTCCTAGTTTTTCGGATGTTCTTTGGATCATCATTGTATTCCTTCTTCATTGAATAAAAACATTCTATCCCCTCTTCTCAGTTGTGTACATCTCCTAGTCAATAGCCATACACAAGCACAAACACAAACACAAACTTAAACCTATAATCATACAATATGAGTAGAGATGACAATTTCCAATCCAATTCACCAATCCAATCCAATCCCACTTAAATATCCAACTAATCCAATCCATTTGATCAAAATCCAATTGGATTGGTGGATCCAAATGACAAATTATGATTTGGTACCTATACTTTTTTATATTTTACATTTTGGTACTTAAATTTTGTTTTTATACAAAAAATTCATTGGAAAAATACGTTTTGGTACCTGAAACTTTTATTATGACATTTAGTACCTAAACTTTTCGAAATTTACATTTGGTCCAAGACTTGGATGTCATTTGGATCGATAGATCAATCCACCAATACATATGATCCAATCTATGGATCCATCAATCCAATCCACAAATCCATGTATCTACTCCAGTTGCCATCTCTAAATATAAGTCATACGACTGACTTAACTAAGCTAGGGACTAATACAACTAGGACAATCATTCCAAGAATACAATAGTAAGTAGACTAGGATAAAGAATTATCCTTAATAGGCAGCATTCGAAAATTTCTAGACAAATTATTGCATTTGCTGGCAGTTTATTTATTTATTGTGAATTTGATACAAGTTCCGACATATCACAGATCAACATCAGTACGTAGTTTGGTCTACTCAAATTGTGGCCTGGTCGATTGAGTCCATACTCCACTTTATAGCTTTACTTTCGTCATTCTTTTCATTACCCGCAGTTAAATGTATAGTAAACGTAATAGCTAACGTTATATCTCAACGAAAGCCAAGTATTTTCAGCACATGCATAAAAAGCAATTTTATGAAAGAAAAAGGTCCTGAAAGACTCAAAAGTGGCGACTCTAAATTCCCCCAATATGCATATCAGTCAAACTAGCACAACAGCACACGACGAGGATTCATTGGTGGTAGGCCATCACTTTCGTTTATTTTTCGACGCACCAAATTATTTTCTGCGCCCCTAACCCACCCAGGTTATCATGTCATATACAAGCCATCAAACTTGTTATATGAAAGCTTAGCGTAAGTCTATTGAATTTTATACGCATTCGTTATATTTATTAGATTTATTTCAATATATTTTAATGAATCGACATTGTGTTTTATTATTCTAAATTAAATAAATTAGATAGTTTGGGCTAGGGAATTAGAAATCGAAAAGTTAGAATATAATATCATATCATATCCAAATTACAGTTGTTTTATGGTCGGAATATTGATTTAGATATATAAATTCGATGAGGACTCAATAGCCAATCATATATATACATTCCAACATGTGCGCGTACGTACCTAAATCGGATTCCCACATCTATCACTCCATTTCACATGCACATCACGTTATGTATATATATGTGGCTATTATTATGCTTTTCTAGACACTTTAGCCTAATAATAACCTAAAAAAATCCCAAGTTGGATTGTATTTGAGTATACTGAATCACAGAAGTGAAGTGTTTTTTTTTCTTCTTCTTCTTCTTCTTCCGTTCGATATTATTAAACTTTTATCTTTAGTCATATATAGTAATGCTTGTTGACTTGCACGTACGACGACATGCAAAGCTACACCAAACAAATTTAAGTCGGACAAGCAAATTACCCAATCACGTTTCAGAATTGAGAATGAGGAAAATGTATAAATGAGAAAAGAATTATATCGGGAAAACGTGGAGGTCCAATGTATGCAAATTGAACCTATGTATATGTGGGGGAAAGCAGACAGTGTCCACAAATTTTATCATCGGAAAAGGGGGGGACAAGCCAGGCAAAAGAGGGAAAGAGGCGTTCCATGGAATGCTGAATTTACTCATTTTTCGAAAGCAATAATTTCCGCAAGTACGTACCTCTTTTGAAAAGAAAATGACTAGACTGTAGACATAAATATGCATATTATATTCTGCTTTCTTCAATAGGCACACAGACGCTGTAGCATGCACCATTGGCATTGAATCCTCTTCCTTCCTTCCTTCCTTCCTACCACAGCTATCGGGGAGCAGCTGCTAGCGAGCTAGCTACTTCTCATATCATATCATCAATCATTCTACAGTTTTGCGCCCTAGAAGGAAGTATAATATATATATATTGCTAGCTCCAGAAAATTACATAATATTGCATGCCTAAATCAACCTAGATCCTAATAATTCACTCGGTTCAAACCATCACAAGCATGGGACGCCCGTTCAAGCTAGCTAGGGTATACAACATTTGTATGCTTATTCCTAGAGAGAGAGAGAGAGAGAGAGAGAGAGAGAGAGAGAGAGAGATGAGTTGTACATAAATATTGGAGAAATTAATTAAGTTTACATGATAGTAATGAATAATCTTAACGACTAATTCCGCCTAGAAATGGATGATGACTTGATGGATTCAACTTGAGCCTTGCCACAAGGGCCCTTGGTCCTAATGAAGAGCCTGTATTCATTGAATGTCATGGAAGGGTATAGAGCTGGCTGGTCAGGCTTCACTAGCTCCTTCGATGGCCCAATCAGGAGGTCACCCCTAGGGTTGTAGAAGAAGGCCAGGGACACCCTGTCCTTGGCCGAGTTCACTATCACTCTGTGCTCCACGCTCTTGTATATCGCATTACTCAACACCTTCAAAAGAAAAAAATAATTATTAAACAAAGAAAGGTATCCATCAGTACTAATTATTAAAATGAATAATTAAGGGAAAAAAAAAAGAGTTGAGAAAAGGGAAAAAGGATGAATAATGACCTGAATCTGGTCCCCGATGTTGATGATGAAGGCACTGGGGACGGGCTTGACGGTGACCCAGTTGCCGGCTTTCCGGACCTGAAGGCCGGCGACGTTCTCGTCGGGCAAGAGAATGGTCATGCCGCCGGGGTCGGAGTGGGAAGAAAGCCCCAAGGTGAGGTCCGGCTGAGGGCATTTCGGGTAGAAATTGACCCTCAGGCACCCGCCGAAGTCCTCCCCTCCAAACGCGTCCTGGAGGCCGTCCTCTTGGAGGCCGAGGTTGCTGGAGAATATCTTCATCAGTTTCCCTCCCAGCTTGCTCACTTCCTTCCCGTATTCACCCACCAAGTCCCTGTAACAAATAACCCACAATTTTTTCTTTTTTTTTTAGGCCATAGTGATTGCTTGGAGTTAGTTAAGGGTACGTTTCCACATCCAATATTGTTATTATAAATAGCACATGTGATTATTGACTATTGTTGTTATGTAATATCATCAACGTGCTCTTATTTGTGCATGTGGTGATGACTTTTTCGAGCTATGGTAATCCAGACAAGCCAGAAAGTAGTTGCCCTCTTGTCACCCCCATTATTAAATTTAAAACCCACGTTGCATTAGTCGGACACGAAAAAATAAATATCCTACACGACACGTGTTCACATTCATATGGGTACTGGTCCGTGGGCAAATAGCCCGCCGTGTTGTATCAAGGAGTTGACCGGCGCCGGCGGGAAGGTCGTTTCGTTTCGTTTCATATAATAATATGAGTAAATAAATGGGAAAAGATTGATTATGGAAGTTCATTATATTATTATTAATAATGGAATAAAAACCCAAAGATGATGTTAAAAGGACCGCAACCACCGACCGACCAAAGCCCATGCATTATTACTAACGGACCTGCAGGTTTCCGGGAACTGGGGCCACTTGCCGGGGTTCCGGAGCTTGGCCGGGAGGTAGTGGAGGAAGAAGTAGTCGCTCCAGTCGAGGGTGGCGCCTTTCTCGACACCGAGGCGGCTGCCGTAGCCTTCGTAGGAAACGGGGTCGTTTGCATACTGCTGCTTGGAGTCGAGGGGGAGGTCGAAGAACTCCCGCCAGATCTCCCGGATGTTCCGCATCAGCTCCACGTCGACACCGTGGTTGACCACCTGGAAGAACCCCCAGTCCTTGCAGGCCGACGACAGCCGCAGCATCGTCTCCGACCGCACGGCTGCGTCGTGGGAGAAGGCCTCCGCCAGGTCGATCACCGGGATGTTGCTGACCACCGCGTTGTGGTTGAGGGATGGGCGGTGGGAGGGTGGCTTGACGTAGCGGTCTGGTATCTTCCAGATCCCGCTCTCGGATAAGGATTGGACTCGGACCACGGGTTCGGGCCAGATGCAGTTCATGGCTGTTTGTTTTTTGGGTTGAAGGGTTGGGAAGGTGTTAAGTTAATTGTCTTGGAAGTGGCTGAGGAAGTTTGAAGAGATATGGGGTAGTGGAGGGTGGGCTTGTATTTATAGCCGGGGGAGTCAGACAGCCAGCCCCATTACTTAATTAGTTGAGCGCCTTGATGGGATGGGTAATGGCCTAATGAGTTGGGTTAATTAATAATTAATAAATAGCTATTTGTTTGGATATTAACCTCCTTGTGGTGGGGCTCTGCTGTTTTACCTTTTCTATCCGAGCCGCACGTGTTTCAAGGATAACTTCTAACGCAATGTTACAAAAAGGAGTTAATGGAAGGAGGATCCCATGACTAAGGGTTACTTAGTCACTTGACTAAGCTTTTTTAGGTATAGGTGTCAATTGGGCAGGTTCGGGTTGGGTTCAATCGGGTTCGGGTTCAAACGGGTTGCGGGTTAGTCGGGTTGCGGGTTCATCGGGTTGCGGGTTCAAACGGGTTGCGGGTTCATCGGGTTCGGATTCAATCGGGTTGCGGGCAAATCGGGTTGCGGGTTCATTGGGTTTTGGGTCGGGCGGGTTGCGGGCGGGTCGGGTTTCGGGTTGTTCGGGCCAGCGCATCAAGTAACTTAACTCATTACTCATTACCAACTTACACATTTTATTACACTAATTTAAAATATTTTCTCAACTTTTTAACCAATTTATTTCTACCTCGTATATATATACTTTGTTTTTTTGAAAAAAACTAGTCAAAATGTTAAATCAATTTGTATGACTTGCAAACTTGTTATGTAATTAATCATAATTGGTAAAGTATTATAACTAATAGTAATGGTGATATCAATATTTGCAATCAAAAGAGACCGTTAATTGTTTATTTGATATTTTAGTATTAATTCAGTAGTAATTGGATTAAAGTATCTCGTTTAGTAAAACTATGCAAATCTGGTATTTGGCGTGTGGTATTTGGAAAAAGCATAGTGATAAAAGGAGTTATTTCAAAATAACTCATTGCCCAAATAACTTTTCGTTTGGATGGGTTAATTGTCAATGTGGTATTTGTAGAGTCAAATAACTCATTTATTGTTCATGTAGTATTTCAGTGTTATTTCAGTGGTAATTAAAATAAAGTATCTCGTTTGGTTGAACCATGTAAATGTGGTATTTGGTAAAAGCAGAGTAATAAAACAAGTTATTTCGAAATAACACATGGGTATAAGTTATTTCAAATAACTCGTTTTGAGTTATTTGTAAATAACTCACTGTCCAAATAACTCATTTCAGTAAACCGCTGCCAAACGAGTTGTTTGCATCCAAATAACTCATTGTGAGTTATTTGAACCCAAATAACTCGTACAAATACTCCATCCAAACGACCAGTAAACTGTTGCCAAACGAGTTATTTGTAAAATTGTTCGAATTATCCTAAAAATTGAACAATTAAAGATTAGCTATCAAATTTAGTAAAATTATTGTGACTTCAATCATAACTTACTCAATAACATATATCCTATACACTTAGCTTTACCCTCAATCAACAATATATTAAGTTAGTATATGTTGTTGATTGTATACCCTAAACCATCAATACATTATACACTAACCACATAACCTATACCCTAACCATATGTCCTTGAGTTGTGATTTTGCTAGTATAGTTAATTTAAAAGTGAAATTCATACTTTGATTTTCAAAACATAGATAAAAAGTGATATTTGCTAATTGTTATACCCTAACCATATATCCTATACTTTACACCAAATACCTTGTACCCTAACCACGTACCATAAACATAAATTAAAAAGGGATCTCCTGCCGTTAAAGACTTCAAATGACTTCAAGTGAACATATGTTAATAAAAAAACTTAGAACCGTCAAAACCATCAATATCTTATACCCTAACCATATACACCCTAAACCATATGTACCTTATATCCTAACCATATACTTTATATCCTAAACAACGAACCGTCAAAGATTACTTCTCAAGTTTAGTATAAATTGTTGTAACTAATGGTTAATTTATTTATTAGCCCATAAAAAATTACATACATATATACATATTAGCCTTCAAAGCATATAAGAATAATTTTAACTAGTCATGCCCTCCATATAATAGTTAAAGATTCATATTTCAAAAGCTAAAATTATGAAAAACCAAAAAGTTGAAAACACCAAATTTGTTTCCTTCTTTCTTTTCACAAAATACTAAAAATTTCCCTCCTTCTTTCTCCTTCCATACATTAGAAAACTCAATTTTCCCACCTCTTTCTCTTCCATAAAATTGAAAGAACCAAATTACCTTCTTCTTTCCTTCTAGAAAAAGTTGAAAAGTCAAAAGTTTCCCTCCTTATTTCTCTTTTATAATCAAAAGAATCAAACTTTTCCATTTCTTTCTCTTTCCAAATATCAAAACCACCAAAATTCCCACTTGTTTCTTTTCTAAAAAATTCAAAGAACCGAATTTCCCTCTTTTTTCTCTTCCCAAAAACTTGAATACACCAAAATTTCCCTCTTCTTTTAAAAACATCAAATTACCAAATACATTACTTTACTTTATTTATATTTAATTGATAATTTTATTGAATAGTTAAATTAACCAAAATTTTAATTTATATATTATATTAAGTGAGTTTCATGTTTCAATTTTTGTAATTTTCTTAAAATACGTAATATCAAGTGAGTTTCATATTTTCAAAATTTCTTATACGAAATGAAAAAATAATTTTACTTAAGTTTAAAATGAAAAACTTTATTTTGAAAAACTATGTATTGTATATTTTTATAATTATTCAAGTGGATTAAATGAAATTCGGGTTGAGTCGGTCGGGTTACGGGTTAGTCGGGTTCGGGTCAATCGGGTTCGGGTTAATCGGGTTGCGGGTCAGTCAGGTTTCGGGTCAATCGGGTTTGGGTTAGTCGGGTTGCGGGTTAGTTGGGTTGCGGGTCAATCGGGTTGCGGGTCGGGCGGGTTACGGGTTGTTGACTTTTAGTCAATTCGGGTTGCGGGTCGGGTTAATCGGGTCGGGCTATGTTTTGACACCTATACTTTTAGTCCTTAGATATGGAAAGACCAATGTAACGGTTAAAAGGTGGAAAGTACTATTTAATTAATGACTGAGGTAGTTTGGGTATTATGTAAAATTACGAAGTATACAAACCGGACTTACAATCAGTACAAACCATACAAACTACAACCAGATTTACAAACATTCCATACAAACGTATGAAATGTACAAACAATACAAACTAGACCGACAAACAATACAAATCATATAAAAAAGAAAAACAAATGGGTTGACTTTAAAGGCTCCATCCCTATATAGAGTGCTTCGTCCCAAAGTCAACCCAGTTGTTTTTTAGACATACAAACATTACAGACATGGTGGACAAAAATGACAAACTAGACTGACAATCCATACAAACTGGAAAAAATATCCGAGTTGACTTTGGAGACTTCATCCCTATATAGAGGAGTTCCATCCAAAAGTCAACCATGTTGTTTTTTAGGCATAAAAAACATTACAAGCATGGTTGACAAAAATGATAAACATGGTGCACAAAAATAACAAAGTTGACAAACATTACAAAAGCACCCGACAAACATTACAAAATAACAAAGCGTACAAACATTACAAAACAAAAAAAAAGACAAACAGTACAAAGCATACTAACGTACAAATAACACTACTTACAATACAAATCAGTAAATTTTTATTACAAATCAATGAATACAAAGTATACAAATCATAACATAATAGTATACAAACTAGAGCAACAAATATTATAAATTAAAATATATATGAATTTGTCATGTAAACATTACAAACACAATAGACAAAAATAACAAACTAGAGGGGAGTTCTACGGTACCCAAGGTAAAATTCGGGGTACCGCATACCTTGAGTAAGAAAACGTTATCCAGAACTTGAATTGACTGATGTTTCGGACATGATACTATAATCTTACCTTTACGTATCAAAATCTAGGTTTTAATTCTCTAAATCTACACGCCAAGATCAATTTAATTAGAAATAATAATCGACGGTTATGATTCGCCAAATATAGGCAAAAAATAATGGACCATCTTAGGGTTTATAGTTTATGATTTAGATAATTAGGACCTAGGGTGCACTCATTAAGGATTAGGGTATAGTATCATGCCCAAAAATCCTGCTAATTCGAGGTCTAGATAGTGTTTTCATACTCAAGGTATGCGATACCCCGAATTTCACCCGGGGTACCGTACAGGGGCGAAGCTACATTGATGCTCGGGGGGCCTCGGCCCCTCCGAGAATTTTGAAGATTGCATATATATATTCGTCGAGAATTTTGGTATTTATGAATAATTTAAAGGCATTATATAAATATATTAACGTGCAATAATTTCAACTAAAATTGCTTGTAGTCCAGCGTATTAATTAATCCCATTTTATCAACTGTACTAGTGTTCAATTCCCCGTGGAAGCTAGTTTGCTTTTATCCACACTTTTTAGTTTAACAAATTTTAATTACCGCTCAAAATTTATAATAATTACTCATTAGTTCAATTTTGTCTCCTCTTTTTTAGTTTAATAATTGCTCAAAATTTAAGATAGCAATTCAATGAAAAATTCGAGAAAGAATAGACATTCTCCTAATTTATATTGAACATTTATAGATTATAGTTTTTGAAATTCTAGTAACGATCATCATTAAGTTGTAGCAATAGTGAATTACATGGTATAGTTGAAAAAAAAATTATTGGTTTTTGTTGGTTGTTTAATTATTTATCTTAAACATATTAAGATAAAACCTAGACTCAGGAATCCTAGCTCCGCCCTTGGTACCGTAGAAGGCATCCAAACTAGAATGATAAACGATACTAAGCGAATTGATACAAACATTTCAAACTGGACTTATAAACATTACAAAATAGGTCGACAAACATTACGAATTCAGCACTATCGCCGGAAAATTCGTGTCTACCGGAAAATCCACCAAAAATCTCTCTCTCTCTCTCTGGGAATATCACTTGGGTTGGGACATAAAAATCCCACCCCCCGCCGGCGGGAGGATTTCCATAAACGAATCGACGATGGG